ATCATTGAATACGTTTTCAGTAAAAAAAAATAGATAAGTTGATTAAAAGAATATAAGTTAAGAGGAAGAACAAACGAGTCTAAAAAGACTAGATGAACCCGAATTTTTTTAAAAACTTTAGAACATTTAAGTGGATATGTCAGATTAAACAATTAGTCATAACCTTCTAAATCTTTCATTCTTCGTTCATGAATGTGACAGTAATTTTAAAAAGAAAAATGGAAAGAAAAACGTTTGAGTAAATATTTTTAAATAAAGAATGTAAACAAAAAAAAAAATTGGAATTCGAGCAAGACGTCCCCCATTAAAACAGTAACATCAAACACAATTCAAAAAACGCAAGTCAAACTTGAAACTGCTAAAATTACTTTTCCCAAACAAACTTCAAATCAAAAGAAATATGTAAATATAATGAAAAAAAGGTGAAATAAAATTATTATTATTTTTTTTTAATTTTAAAATTCCATTTTAAAATGTATGCTCTATATTTATCATCATAATATTTATTTAATGATAAGTATTATGTAAATATTGTCATATTGAATAATTAAAAAAAAAGAAATGAAAATCAATGACTATTACACAACGGGCTGATACTAGTATATAGACTAAAAGAATTAAAATACAATTAGCACAAATCTTATTACAACCAACAGGTGACAGTTAACATCTTAACCAGATATAAACCAAAAACTTTCTTAAAATCATTTTGTTTATTTATAAAAGTTCATAGTTTAATTCAAATTTTTTGTTGTTGACATTTTTTTATGTATAAGTAAAAAAGTTCATTGTTTAATTCCATATTTTTACATTTTTTAAATTATGTGTCTTGATATAAAAATTATAACCACTTGAATAAATTAAGCTTTTATATTTTTTCTAAAGCCTATCATGAATTTGATAGTCTAACCATACATGAGAACTACACTTTTATACATACCAATTGATTTGTGTTATGGTATAAAAAAAACAACAACAAGGGATACTCATTGTAAAGCTAAATTTAAATTAAATATATTGTATATTTATTTTAGCAAAAAACTAAATCTTTAATAATTCTGTACAATAGGCACCAAAAGATGACATCATTCAAATAATTCATATTCTTAGCTTTCTCAGAAGACATAACACATTTTTCTCATATTTTCTATTTTAGGATCTAGACTGAAAAAATTTACATCATGTTCATTACAGGAGAATGCTCCCAATAACTATTTTTAGCAAGAACAGTAATTTGTGAGTTGTTATCTTAAACTCCAAGAAAATTTAAAAGAATTAACAATATCATTTCTAAAAGTAAAGGTGATGAATAATATTAATGTTTCTTGTTTTGTCTTGACTGCTGAAGAAGGTGTTTAGCTGAAACATCCTTCTAATTGCCCTATATTTTTTAAAGCCTAAAGTATCTCCTTTGTTTCACTATTTATGTACTTAACAAAACGTAAAATACATTCACTTCTTTATTATCATTTAATAGGAGGGCCTTTAGGCAAAATAAACTTTAAAAAAAATATAGCTTACTGCTGGATACAAAATTTGTTTAAATTATATAATAGACCTTGATATAAAAACAGCTTAACTTTTTAGTTCTGCCTGCTTTAAAAAAAATTACCCTGATGTGTATGCATCTGTGGGGACAAGGCGCAAAATACAAAGACATCAGATTAAAGGTTACCTCCCAGAGAAACAAAAAAAAGTGGATTAAAATAAAACGAATAATCTGTGAATTTCAGTTTGTATGCTATTAGAGCCAATTCAACTTTAACAAAGTATAATTTTATCACATGGCTGTCTAAATCAAAGGCTGAAAAATGCTTTTAAAAATTATGCAGATTGATGTCAGGGTTCTTGATTACATAATTTTGTAGTAGCAACGATTATCTAGTGCCTGAGATTGTGCAGAGAAACTATTCAGTTTGTCTTGTGGATTTTTATAGGGAGAAGTTGGACGAAAGGCTATTTTAAAGTTTTGTGGGCTGGTTAAGGGAAGGAATGGGCCAAATGGGATAGGTTGAATTGGGCTTTAGTGGTAAAGTAAAAATCACATAAAGGAATGACAGAAAAAATAGGGGCTAGAAATAACAAATACAATTGTTTTGTGTGGCAACTGGCGAGTGAATCTGAAACAATGTAAGCTGGGTGATATTAATGGGAAGTGATTAGAAATATTTAAATGCTGCACACTGGGAAATAATAAAATAAATAAATACATGCATGCTAAACTTTATATTAAATAAATATGTATTAGTTACCTATTAAAAAATAAAACAACGGAAATCCAAATAAAATGCTCATTGGTATTTATTTTCAATTTATAATTATGTGCGCTAAATTTTTTTTCTTTCTGTAATCTTTTAGTTCCTATCTTATAGTGTTAATAATTAAATAATTCAAAATATCAATTACTTTATTGCTGTTATCTTTAGTACCCATCTCGGAATTATAATATTGTTTAAAAAATTGAAAGCCTTGGCAGTTTAGAACCTTTTTTAAAAAGTAGTGTTATTAACTCTGTTACCTTATTTTTTTAAAATTCCATGTCTAACAACAAAAAACACAAAATGTTCATTACTTACTAGTTTAGGACTAGATAATTCTGAAACTTAACCTTTTTTTTTCTTCAAAATATTTCTTTTAAAATGCAATTCATTTTATTCTGCGAAACAAACACTATCATAAGTTACGTTTAATTTGATATTTCTGTTCACTTTATCATTTTAACTCTTACACATAATGTTTTGGGAATATTGGAGAAGAGCATTTTAAAAAACCTTTATTGTTGGTAACAAAATTAAAATTATATATTGAACCTGTAGTATACAGCAACATTCCCCAAATATGGTCTGCGGACAGGCATCAATCTGATGGGCTTATATTTTAAAGCCAGTACAACATCCATATTTTAGATAAATGAAAAAGAAAATGTAAATAATGTATATGTCAAGGCTGGTCCCAAGACCGGGTGCAAAAGGAGGAGGGTTGATGTGAGGCCAGCTACCTGAACCATAAAAATCAATCGCTACAGAAATGCAAAGAAGCAAAAAAAAATTAAAAAATTCAGCTCTGAGAAAGGAGGTGGTCTTCTTTTTCAATAAGAGCTATGAAGCCTTGTGGCCAAATCTAGGCTATACTAAAAAGCCTCAAAGCCGAAGACCCACATTTCAAAGGAAAGGAACATAGCCATGTGGAAAGTGTGAACCATATAAGAAGTAGAACTGTTCCATTTAAAATACAAATATATCTATAACATTTTTTTCCTTGTCACAGGACTCGGGTGCAATTTCAGAATGGTCTAATGGAAAGCTTGAGAAATGCTGGTATAGCACATAAATGTTCAGTCCTTTCATGCTTTAAATATAGTAAAAGTAAATCATACCAAAAACTTTTTTTTTACTAAATTGACAACCCTTGCGTTTTTAATCTTATCACTGTCAGCATTATGTGAAATGGTTAGTTAAGAAGTTCAAAAATACAACTAAAACTATGTCAGCAAAAAACAAATGGATTTGTCTTCAAAACACAACCAAAATCTATAGATATAAGTTCAAATAATTAAACATATTGAAATATAATATATTATTACATATATCCTTTTTCATCAATGTCAATTAACAATTGAATAAAACTATGTTTTTCTTTAAAGGCTAATTTTAATTTTCAACAGAAAATCATAAAAACATAAACAATGTTTGATGTGCTATAATCCCTCTGTTTCACATAATGCAGGGTGGTTGGTACTTTTGTCATAGTCAATATAATCATAATGATGCTCATTGTTGCCTTCAGTTAATTTGAGGTAAGCTGGAGTAGTCACCCCTTGCACTTGGTTGTATTCATTGGTCGAAATCTCATTGGAAATGACATCTTTGGGATGAAAAATAAAAGTAGACATAATATAAAAATCTTTTTATTTATGGAATAATTTTTTGGGCTTAAAATATTTCTAAAAAATACTCATTTCATTTTCTTAATGGTTTGAGTGGGAGCATTTGATAAAAAAATATTTAAAAAAAAAAGAAAATTAATAATAGCATAATATAAGTAAGGTCTTGATTAATTGATTTGTTAGTGCTTGATACCTATAACTGTTATTAATCAAAGCAAAATATACATTTATAAGTTATGATAACAATTTAAAAATATTTTTTAAATACTCACCATTTCTATTTCTCATCAAAGCATCGTATGTGTGTGGTCTGGAAATAATGTAGATGTAAGAAATATGTGATATGTTAAATGATTTTAAAATGTGTTTTATAATATATATAAAGGGTTACATGCAACTTTTCGTGGAGTAAATAAGAAAAATAAATTCTCATAGAAAAGGAAAATAATCATATTAGGTACCGGTATTCTACAAATGTGACTAATTTTTTCAAATAACTGTAAAATAAACTATCAAATAAAAAAAAGTTTTCACACTTGTTTTAGAAATTAAGGAAACAAATTAAAAAATGTAAATCTATATATATATATATTTCATTATATAAATACTGGATAAAAAAATTTTTTAACTTGAAATTTACCTTTCTATTTGTTGCTTTCTTTTCCCTGAATAGAGTAAAAAATATATAATTTTGTATTAAAATTCTTTTTTGTATAGAATTTATTTTAAAATATTAAACGGACTGTATAAATTTTACTAAAATTATAGTTTAAACATACAACTTTAACTACGTTGTGTTAATAAAACACAAATTTAAGACTTGAACCGTTATTAGAATTGACCTACAAATTTTTTTCTTTTAAGAATTAAATTGATGAATTTTAAATATTGTTCAAGTCTTCTTCTTTTTAAAGTGGTTCTTTTAAAATTTATAATTTTATAAAAATATTTACATCCAAGCATTAGAGATCTGCTTAACTTTATTTAAGAGTATTCTGTCAGACATTTTTTTCCTTATCTTAAATAGCTATTTATGTATGCTTTTAAATTTAAAGATAAATGTAAAAATTGAAGAACTACAGTTTAAAAGAATAAAACAATACATTTTTATTACCTAGTTTTCTATAGATTATAAATCCAAGTATGATTAAAACCAACAATGTAGGACATATTGTTATTATTACTATATTCTGTAAAGACAAAACAATGATTTTCACATCTGAAAGAAAAAAATGTAAGATATGTTTATTTTTATTTTTACATTGTCATACATAAAATATATAGAGACACAAAAGTAGTTGTATTGCTATTAATATAAGTTATTTAAAACATTTTTACATTTTTTTTAAAGGGTAGGCCCTATATTACTCTAGTGGGACCCCTGCTTCCTAGCTAATACAAAGTACATTAGTTTATTTTTTTTTAAAATTTATGAGATATTATAATACAAAAAAATGTTTTAAAAATTTAGCGTTTAATTAGTGTAGTTACTTACCAGCAGTTACAAAAGCTGTCCTTGTATTTTTACATTCTACTTTTCCATTATCATTAGATGTGACTAGAGTAAAAAAATGATCATTCATGTTAGTCAGTCCATTGATTTTGTAGGTAAATGTTTCTGTGTCTGGATTTTCAACTTCACCAAGAACAAAGCCATCACTTGCATCAGTATTTGTTGAATTCCTAGTTACATTGTACATCATGACTTGAAACTTTTGATTCTGATCATGAAGTTTCTTGGTTTTCCAGGAAATTGTGATATGCTCATTGTTGACATTAGATATGAAAATTTCATTTGGAAATTCAGGAAAAGCTTTGGGAAGAGGTTGGGGGAAGGGAATTAATAAGTTGAGTTTTATAAAATTTGTGAAATCAACAAGGTAGTCCTTTTAACAAGAAAAACAAATTAATGATAAGGATAGCTTATTTCTTTTCAAAAGGTAAATAACATATGAGTAAAATAACTAATTCAGTTAGACAGTTGAAATGTAAAATATTTAAATATTTTGATGCAGTTTCCAAAAAATAACTTTGCAGCTGAAATGCTTTTAAAAGCATTTCGAAATATAGGCATAAGTTGCAAATTTATTCCAAAAAGTCGACATTAAAATTAATATCATAAAAAAACTAATAGGTTAGAAAAGATTTTGTTGTAAAAATATTATTATAATTTGATTTATACAATATGTATTTTAATTAACATTTTGTTAACTGTCTAATGTTCTTAAAAGGAGCATTTTTTACAACATAGTTGAGATTTTTTAAAATTTAATTTTAAATGCATAAAGAAAAATTAATAAATTTAAAAAACCTTTTCGATATCTATGAGTACTGAATGCCCTTTCCAAAAAGAAATTAGATGGAGTTTTGTTTTCTTTTAACATTACTTTAGTTAAAAATGCAATTACTTACAAAAAACATCGGCAACTGCAGTCAAACTTTCAGTACTTGCTGCTGTCATAGCGAAGCATGTGTACTGTTCATTTTCATGAACACTATTAACCTTAAAATGTATAATAAAGTTCCATTAAATTTAATTAAACAGATGTTTCATTTGATGCTGTACTTTTCTTTTCAATTTTTTTTGTGGCAGACATGATTGACTAAACATTGTAAATTATAATTTTGGAGAGGCTTTAAACTATTTATTTCTTCCTTTAATTTTTTCTTTCTTTTTATTCATAAGTCTATGTATGGTAGAAGAATTTGTCCAAATTATTGTTGATGTTATTTTTTTGAAATTTTAGCTCCATCATCTTCTTTTTCTGCTTTAAGCTTGAAAAACCATTTTAAATGATGATAACAATTAATATGACTTTGCTTAAATGTTAAAGTGTGTTTGATTTCATGTTTATAATGTTCCTTGTTAATATGTTTTGATAAGAATTTATGCTGTTATAAGACATGTGCTAAAAACATACTCCTATGTATATTCATTTTTAAAACCTACATAAAAAAGTTTTGTTCTTGTTGATGCAGATGATACAAGAATTCTTGATGAAATTGAAGTTATGTTCTTCCCTTGAGGTCCAAGAAGTTGAATTTCATTATCTTTTGGAGGTGGTGTAGACTGAACAGTGCAGGTAAAAACAGAGGCTTGACCAGGGGAGACTCTGTTGTTGCCAAGATAGAGAATAGCAGAGTTGTTCCCTTTAAATGAAAAAAATAATTATGAAATTTGTGTTTTAAAATTTTTTAAAAATATATCTCTAAAGAAACCTACTGATTTTAAAAAGAAAAGAAAAATTAAAGATGCAGGTTTATTATTTCTTATTCTAATTTAAGAATATATTGCTTTAACAAATTATAAGGCCATAATTTTTGCTTTGAATTCCCCATAAAAAACAACAATTAGCAAGAATAATGGAAAACATAGTTTTCTGACTCAAATTACATGCAGTTTGGATTTTTTCCCCCAAGTATGCAGGAGAGAAAACGTACAAGTCATTAAAAAATTGTTTTTAAATTTAAGGGAGAAATAAAGATGAAATACTTACATAGCCCACAAGGATATTGATCACTTATTCCTTTCTTACACACACACTTGGAGGTTGGCCCCAGAAAACGCTGACAATGGCTTGAATTTTCACACTGACATTTTTTTTCACATTCCCATCCATAAAAGTTTGGTTCACAGGGAATAACTGATAATTACAAAAATTAAAGCAAATGATGTTATAATCATGGCTTTTTATTTTAATTTGTTAATTTTATATCAATTTTATATTCTAATTATAAGTTTAAAATGGACAGAACAGAAGAAATTGTAGACCTTTTATGTTTCTAGTTTTTCGGTTAGATAAAATTTTTCTAATTGTATGAGATAGTTTGTTTTTTTAAATTCTACCAAAATTTAAAATTTCTTTTTTTATTTTTGTATTACTAAAACACTAACAATTAAAATATACAATGTGCATGTGAATATTTTCTCATTCATTTTGTCTATTGTATTTGGACATTAAAAAGTTGTTTTACAACAAATCTATGTAGGATCTAGCAAAAATGATTATTTCACTAGATGGTAGGTCTGGATGTAAGACAGCTTGAGATTCACTGATTTATTCAACACAAACATTTTTGCAATGGACATGATTTTTTTAAATTATAAAAACTAATTGAGCCGATGGTGATTCGGATAATATAATTTTCAGATAACATAAAATTTTCATTACAATATTAATGCATAAAGATAATATAATAAAATACACAACATTCTTTGCTTATAGTTATTCACATATGTTACTTTATTCTACACCATATAAACCAAAGGGGCCTGTTTGTTGTTCCAGTGTTTGTCGGCCAATGCTTCAAACCATACGAATCATGGCGTACACTAAATATATTTTATTAAAAAGACAGTGGCAGTTTGTGTCCATCACATTTTTGATAACCAGCTTCAGCAAATTGTAATTTTACTGTATTTTTAAGGAAAATTAATTACCTGCCTGGCAATCCTTTCCTGACCAACCCTTGGCACAGCCTGTTGTACATTTCCCGGTAGCTTCATTACAGTGTTCATCAGTTTCTTTACAATGACAATCTTTATTGCAGTAAATGCCGAACCTCCCTCGAGGACACTCTAAAAATAAATAGTAAGTGTAAGAATATGTATGTTTATAATGTTAATTTCATTTTTTAGAGTTTATTAATAAATAAAAAATAAACATAAGTTCTCTTACTATTAAGGACAGACAATACATCACGTAGTTCACTTTTCACGTGTTCATACTCTTATAATTATGTTAAAAATTAACGAAAACATGTTACTTTGCATATTAAATAAATACATTTGATTAAATGGGGCTTACCAATGTCAATCATAATTATGACAATTAATATATGATATTTTCATTCTTATAATATCATTATTATCTATATATATAATTCGCCACCACCACGCAGGCTATCATACGCCAGAAGGTGGTTAAATAATGAATTTACTAGCACGCAAAATATAATTCCCCATAACTATGCTAAAGACTAGTAAAGATATATCTATTTTTAATAACACTATTGTGTTTGGTGCGTAATATTTTCTTTTAGGAAATGAAATCATCTCAATTTAAGTACTTGTAAAAAATATTTGGTTTAAAAGTGGTACCAACATGAGAATATTAATATAGTTCATGGGCGTGATGGCGTGAAATAAAAAGTGTGCAGTGCTGTATCATTGGGGAAGGGGTGTAGCAAATATTGGGATTCTTAAATGTGCGTTACTTGAGTTCATGTTTTGTCAAGTAACTTTACTAGATGAGAAGTTCACCCCGCCAATGTTTGGCGGGCTCTCTCTAGTCCTAGTTATTTAATATTTAAGTTATAATTATAATTATTATAATTTCAACTGTCAACTGTGAGCTTACTTAGGATGAACCTACTGTGTAGGCCTATTAAACAAATACAGAACTTCGATACCGTTATATAAATTTGACACTTGGGTTTTTAAAAAAAATTACCACATGATCCAAGTGAGCAAATTTGCCATCTGTATTTTGATGATGTTGTGTAGCACCAAGCCTGATCGCTGTCCGCTGTCGCCCTACAGTAGTTGTTAGGAAGTCTCCGGTCGAGGAAATGTTTTTTAGTGTATGCGTGTTTCCGAGGATATTTTCGACTCCATTGCTGACAGGGAATTCCCTGTACAGTTAAATTATGCGTACCCATATACTGCATGGGTTGGTTGTTATAATAACATTTGTCAGCTTGAAACAAGAGACATAAATAATACATATATATTTTTTTAAATTAATAATAATAAACGTTACGACAAATAAAAATTACTAACAAGAAAACAGAAATAGTATGTTTTACAGTTACTAATTTTTAACATTAGAATTAGTATTAGATGTATGAGCTTACCATTAATAATTAAATAGGCTACCAAAAAGACCTACCTAACTGACATCCAGGTCCCCAGTGACCACCTTTACACCTTCCCCCGTTACATAAGCCAGTGATCTTATCACATGTTTCATTGTTAGGACAGTGACATAAATGCCTGCATTTGTAGCCGAATTTACCGTCTGGGCAATGTTTTAGTAATGAATACATAGCAGACACTGAAAAAAAATATAGGCCTATAATAATATAGTTGTAATGAAATAGACTATATGTAAGTAAGTTGATCAAAGTCACGGTTGCATAAAATTCAATAAAAGGGGCCCACATTTGTAATAACTCTAAATTAAATATTCATGTATTGTTTTAATTATGTCAACGAAACAAGGAAAAGAAGGAGTTTGGAAATGTTTGGCTATTACAATACTTTTTTAAATAAATATGATTGTAAATATCATATAATTTTTAGGCTTTTAACACTATAAGATTTGTTTAACCGAAGTGGCTATTCTGACCCGGGTCCGAGAAATGAGAGGTTGGGATTGAAATTAGAAAAACAAATTATTGGTAAGTTGTAATACAAAATTTGGTATCAAATGAAAGATAATTGAACGGACTACATGTTTGTAAATTTATTTCTTTAATTAACATTGATAGCATTGAGTCTAAAGTGACCCGGGTCCGAATAGCGGCGCTGCGTGTCTGGTTCCATTTTGACTAAATGCATTTCGGATGTCATTTGTTGTTGTTTATTTTAGTTAAACTGAAGAAGTAAGTTTACAAAAATATAGTCCATTAAATTACCTTTCATTTGATACCTAATTTTGACTTACAAAACCTACAATAATTTTTAAATATTTTTTTTTTTAATAAACCCAAAATCTCACTTCTCGGACCCGGGTCCGAACAGCTAATGTGCGTCTGTCTGTCCACTGTAGATGCCTGGGCAGAATGTTAGCACAATTAGTGTTGTTGGCCTCTCTTCATTTGTAGATTCTGTTAGTCGAAAATTGCGGTATTTTTTCGATTAGGTTGCAGGTATGGAACAAGGACAAGGTATATAGTAAAGTAACAATAATAACATTGCTTCTTGAACGCATAAGCAACATCTCTAACATCCGTTTTGCATCACAAGTCATTTTGAAAAAACATGTTCAACAGCACCCACAAAGCACTTTTCAGCATAATAAATTACCACCTGCTCCTCAACAAAAAGGAATTTGACCAATGCGAGTAGCTGCGAGGAGACAGAGATAGCGTATTGTAATTATTGCTCACACTGACAAAGCTTCTATTTAAAGTGCCGAATGGTAAAATGAGGATGATTTTGACTTGTCTGGTATAAAATTTCATAAGATGAACATGACAAATCAACAAATATTCCTAATTTTACAATAGAGCAACATCTGACTACTCCATGGGAAGATGGCATTAGCTAGAAACTAAATTACAATTGTGAGCAATATGGCCAATGATCATAATAACACTTCCACAAACAATGATATTTAGTCTTTAGCAACTTTTCATTGATTCTACTTTATACAAATTAAGTGTAACAACTTTTTTAACTTGTTGATGATCAAGCTAACGATGTGATAAAACATTTTTCCTACAATTGTGTTTTATTTAAATAGATTAGCATAAAGTAAAATGTATATATATATATATATATATATATTTATTTATTTGTATTATGATTCATTTTGTGTGTGTGAGGGGGGTGGGGGGTATAAAATGTTGACATAATTAATGAAGTGGGAAATCATGGAAAGTTTGACAGTAGTTTTAAAAAAAAGGGAGCGGGGGTTAAAAAAATTGCGTAATAATTTATTTTTGGCGTAATTAAGGGACGCCCCTATATTAAACAGAAAATATTATGTTGGTGAAAGCGTTTGTGTTACTCATTTTTGTTTTAAACACAAAATAACACACGTCAAAATAATAGTTTATACCTTTACTCATGACTTTGGCTCAGAACTAACGGTTGTTTTAATACATCATCATATTGACTTAAGAGTCAATTTTGATTGATGAACCCATGTTTTAAAAAAATAATCATTCAGAAGTCGGACAAATGATTTGTTTAAAACGAAATGTGAATTTTAGAAAGACTTACATATAGCTTTATTTTTTTATATTTAAAAAAAAAAAAAGAAGTAGCATCTATTGTTAATCAATTAATCTGAGTAATTTTAATTTTATAACAGGAATAACATAGAATGCCGTGAAATAAATATGTGTATTAAAAGCCAATTTTATTTAGAAATTTTGATTGATGAAACCATGTTTTAAAAAAATAAACAATTAGAAGTTGGACAAATGATTTGTTTAAAACGAAATGTTAATTTTAGAAAGACTTACATATAGCTTTATTTTTTTATATTTAAAAAAAAAAAAAAGAAGGAGCATCTATTGTTAATCAATTAATCTGAGTAATTTTAATTTTATAACAGGAATAACATAGAATGCCGTGAAATAAATATGTGTATTAAAAGCCAATTTTATTTAGTTATTATTTAATTATCATTCTACGCTTTCAATTGAGTGAAATGAGTTAAATCCATTTTATAATTGACCCCGTTTTGAAAGACATTGGTTTATTACTTAAAAAAACGGTTTGATTTTTTTTTCCTGTGACACCTTTTAAATCCTTTTTTTTTTTTGAAATGTCACCAACAATATTTTTTTTTCCTCTTCAATTTGTTTCCTTTACTGAAGAGGCACAATTTGGCCACGCCCAATCTTACCACTCCCGAGAAGGTCATCACTCTCACGAACACCATCCCATCCCTGCTAAATTAAGACTTGTCATCATCAAGCACTTGATATAACACTCACCGACCTTGGTGTTCAAGTAACAGGCATTTGCCCCATTTTGAGACAACGTATTTAGGTCAACAAGAGAGCTTGTAAAAGCTTAAGTGAGCGCGTGATGACTTTTTAATTTCACAATACACTGTCAAATGATGAACCGGATTGCGTGTAAATGTTAAGGTCTAGGTCACAAACTAAATAAAAACTAGAAAAAGGAGGGAGGGGGCGTAACTAGGTTTACTACAGCCCGCCCCGGATCAATCATTATCTACCCCTCAAAACGAAACAAAACAAAAATATATATATTATTTTTGACCAAAAATGAAATCCCTCAATATATAGGTGAAAAGTGCTCCGATTCCGGAAAGCGCCAAACACCCTCGCTACGCCACTGTGCTTAACATTTAAAAATAATATCCTGAAACCTACATTTTGTTGTGTCCATACACACGTAGGAATGTCTAAAGCTGCATGGGGCGTCGTTGAGATGAAAGTTTTTGTACACGCTTATACAATCCTCATCTTCTCCTCCATTAGAGTGGACTTCGTTATTCGCCTCTCTGCTGTCCCATAATTTAGCTAAGTCTTCATTGGCCAGCTGGTTATTTTGAATCCAAACATAGCGCCCTTCAATGGCCAAATCAGTCGCATCAATCCACACTATTAAGAAAACACATTTACTGACATAATTTGAGAATGTAAGATTGTGGACTGCACAAATTAAGTGATAGGTACAAATGAAAAAAATAAAGTATTTTTAATAGAAGGGTTACCGAATAAGCTTAATGCTAAGGGAAAATACATGCTATAAAACTCCTGTCATTCTTATTACTCTTACTTTGTTTTTTTTAAATATTCTCGGTGTAGCTTTGAAATGACACATACATATATACACACACACATATGTATATATATATATATACACATATATATATATATATATAATCAATAACAGTAGTATACACAACTGGTCTCTTTTTCTCTTTTTGTTTCTTTGTTATTGCTAACGTTGTATTAAAATGGATAGTCAGGTGCAGAGGTTAGGGACAAGGATGAGGCAAACGAGAAACTAACCACATGAAAGGGTGCCAAATTGATGAGCACACACACACCCAAACACACATGTATGTTAAAAGAGACAGATTGGAAAGATGGTCGCAATGAATTTTTTTTAAAAAGAAATGTCATATATGTAATGCATCGCTTTACCTTCCGCTCTGATGTCCTGGTTAATCAATATTTGTTTAATCTGATCCAACGTCTCGAAAGAAGCTAAAATTGTCCCTTGTGCCTCACATTGCCGCTTTAATGTTTAAATAAAGAGTATAAAATTGTATATGTTTTCTAACAGCAGTTGACAAATTACATTTTGTTTTCCTGATTCTTTACTTTCGACAGTCTTAGAACCACTCTCCCCCGAAGCCCAGGTTTTATGTACCATGAATTTAATGAAAATCTATAGATTAAAAAAATCCGTTTCAAAAAAAAAATTAACGCTTTATCATTTTCCTTTCTTTAGAAAAAGAAAAAAAAATGAATTAAAAGATAAGCCTTTAAAGAAGATAAAATATTTTAACAATATTATTTTAAATTGTTATGCTGGTCAACTAGATATAACAAAAAAATCAATGTTTTAATTGAATGTATGTTTGGACACCTTATTTAATTAAATATTATAGACAAAAATACTGTTTACCTTTGCATCAAACCATGTGGACGGACCTGTAAAAAATCTGTAGCATGTGCCATTAACGAACCTCTTACCATTTCCTGAACACTCCGAGCCTGAGTTGGCTTCTAAAATAAAGCAAATAATAACTCTATAATTATAATTTTTATTTTGCTATGTAATTGTATATTATAAAAAAAATATGTTACCTTCTCTTTAATAATACATTAAAAAATAATAGTAATGAATCCAAGG